CCAATAACTTCCTCTGACTTCTCTTGTTTCCCTGACCAGTCTCATCCACTTCCACACACTTTTACTTATTTTTTTTATTTTCTTTTTTTTATTTTTTGTGAGGAAGATCAGCCCTGAGCTAACATCCATGCTAATCCTCCTCTTTTTGCTGAGGAAGACCGGCTCTGAGCTAACATCTATTGCCAATCCTCCTCCTCCTTTTTTTTCCCCAAAGCCCCAGTAGATAGTTGTACGTCATAGTTGCACATCCTTCAACTTGCTGTATGTGGGACGCGGCCTCAGCATGGCCGGACAAGCGGTGCGTCAGTGCGCGCCCGGGATCCAAACCCGGGCCGCCAGTAGCGGAGCATGTGCACTTAGCCGCTACACCAAGGAGCCGGCCCTCACCTATTATTTTTCTTTGAGAATCAAAGCCATCGCACAGGAGCTGTCAACTTCTCTTTCTTCCATTTCAAAATGTCTACACGTTTTCAGTAAAAGAGTGCTTTGGTTTTTCTGAGAGTAACACTTCCACATGCAGCCCTAACCTCTCTCCTTGTCTCCCCTAGGATCAGCTTTGTTTTCTTGGGTGCATATATTTTCTTGCATTTTTAATTTGTCCCTTTCCACAAGCTCAGTCTACAGACATATCTTTCTATTCCCAGCCCTACCCTATCCCCCACCCCAGCTACCATTTGAGTACTTTCTCTTCATTGCCATATTTCTTGAAAAAGTGGTGTATGCTAACTACCTGCCTCTTTTTACTCACTTTCTATTCACTTCTCACTCACTTGAACTATGGTTTCCACTCCCTCTTCTCTCCTTAGATTTGCTCATCCTTATCTCTAAACATATGATACTGTTGCCCAAACTCTTTTATCTTAAAACTCCTTTGCGTCCATTGCCCTACTCTTTCCAGGTTGCCTCTTCCTTCTTCCATAATCTGAAACAGGCGTTTCTTGAGGCATTCTTTGTGTCCTTTTTCTTTTCTCTTTTAACTTTGTTGCTGTCATTTTCTGCAACCACAAGTCTCCTGCAGTTGATGCACAAGTTTAGGTCTAGGTGCCAACCTCTCTTTTGGGCAGATGTCCCGTGATTTCATATACTTTAATAAGTATTTTTACCTGGCTGTCCCACCAACAATCCAACAACTGAACTTCAGCTGAACAAATCTGAACTTCCAGTTAGCACCTGTCTCTGTTATCGATATCATCCAAAAGCCTTTGACATCACAGCTTTCTTTTATTCCATATGCAATTATGTAGCAGGCCTTGTTGATTATTCTGGCACAACAGTATTTGGGGCAATCATTTCCTTTTCAGTTTCATTGACCTATGTCAAGTCCTTGTAATTTCTCTCCTGGATTTCTGCAGTAGCTGTTTACCTAAGCGAATTTCCTGCTTCTAGTCTCTCCCCTCCCCAAAATAACCTGAATCAGTGTTCCTTAAAATTTTAACCTCCAGGAGTAAGGTTTCCAAATAAAAGATGAATAATTTTTTAGTATAAATATTTCCTATGCAATATTTGGAACATAGTTACACTAAAAAATTCTTTGTTGTTTATCTGAAGTTCAAGTTGACTGGCCAACCTATATTTTTATTTGCTAAATCTGGCAACTCTATCTGGAGACACTTAATAAAACTGGCACATCCTCAGACCATCATCTTAAGTAATTAAAAAAACTGGCTTACCGTAATGATTAAGGTAACAGAAAAATTTGTAATAGTTTAAAAATTAATACTAGGAATAGTAACTGTTTAATATTGGTAAGCTGAAAACATGTGCAATAGGTCAGGCTTCATAATTGACTTAATTTTTATTTATACTAAAATTAGAAACTCTGAATTCGCAATGAGTTTGTCAGATATTGTAATGAGTGTTTGATGGCTACCAGATAATTCTGAATAACATGGATCTAGTATCATGGAGAGTTTCTTTCTTTTTTTTTTTAACGCTCTGCTTTTATTTATTTATTATTATTTTTTATTATTTTTCCCGCAAAGCCCCAGTAGATAGTTGTACGTCATAGCTGCACATCCTTCTAGTCGCTGTATGTGGGACGCGGCCTCAGCATGGCTGGAGAAGCTGTGCGTCGGTGTGCGCCCGGGAACCGAACCTGGGCCGCCAGCAGCGGAGCGCACGCACTTAACTGCAAGCCACGGGGCTGGCCCTCATGGAGAGTTTCTAATCGAAGACATTTTTCAGTAGTTTGTCAGATTCTAAGTAGAAGAGCTTATAGCAACTTCAAAAGTTGAATGTTTCAACCTGGGAGAGAGCAGGAGTTCCACTCAGCTGCATGGTCTGCATTCAGCTCTGAAAAGCATTTTTTCCTACTCAGTTGCAACATTTGGATGTTGGTTTAAAATATATTTAATAATGTGTCATCCATTTCTTTCTCTGATGAAGAAAGAAAATTATCATGTATTGGGAAATAACAAACTCTTGGCAGTCAAGGCATTTGCATAACAGTCTCTTTTTCTTACACAATCCTGATACTTTGTTCTCAAGATTAAAAATCATGGCATTTAGAACTTGAAGTAATAAGTTCAGGTTAATAAAAATAATGAAAATATTGCTCAGATAAGCCATTTGAGCAAGCCTAATTGAAAAATAAAAATGGTTTTTGTTAGTATTATCTGTATAGTAAAGAAGGAAGTTTTACTTCAGCCCTTATTAAAAAACTTGTGAGAGCACCTTCCCCATTACTGGCCTCCATACTTCATCAAGGAAAAAGCAGTCTTCTAACATTTGTCTATTTCTTCTCAAAGATTATGCTTACTGGCTGCTATTTAACTATATTTATAGTTTGTACTAATTTTTCCTATGTTGAATCAGAATCAGGAGAAATATTGTTTGATACCAACTTTTCTCTGAATAAAACAGAAAGTGGACTGATATTTTGTTTCTTGCAGGAATAACGTCCTTTCTACACCCAAAGCTACAACTCCCATAAGTTTTGATCCCGAGATACCTTTTTCAGATTCTCTCACCCCTCACAATTATTTTTTAAATGAAAATTTTTCTGCATGAAAATGTCTTCTTCTGTAACTTGAATTTTTAATGATAAAACAAATAGGAAGTTTCTGGGCATTTTTCCTTATGTACCACATATACATATTGTGAAATGATTCAAATTGTGTACATCAGTGGTGTCCACTTGTAAGGTAAACATCCGTTAGCAAGTACAAGGCTGATATTGCCCTTTCTTGTTGTATACCATGATTCTGTGTGATATTTGATTAGGGATTTCTGCCAAAAGCTTGTTATACTTTCTCCAAGCAAAATATTTTTTATTAACTTGGTAGCTAGTTGTACAAGCATCTCTGAAACAAAACGACTTTTACCAATTTTTAAATGAGGGATACAACTTGATCTTTTTTATCCACATATTCATCCATTTCATACTAGAAAACATTATTTTGCATTTATTCTGGAAAAATAGACTTTACTTGACAGCGAGGTTATTGTATCTGGTTAAAAAATGACTTGAAAGCTTTGATGGCTTTCCAAGTCACTGTTTGACAAAATTTCCTAATAGTCAAGGTGCAGCAGGCAAGGGACAAATAGATTGCTGGCCCAATAAAATCCAATTTTTAGATATTCATAGTTGTACTTCCTATTTACATTTTTATTTATTTTTTTGCTGCTTGGATGAACTTATCACATTTACAGGCACATAATTCATATTCTATATCTGCACTGCAGTGTTGTTTAGTAGCTAGCTACTTTTACTACATAATTTGGAATTGAAGTACTTATTACTTTTTTCACTACTTCTTATGCTTCAATGTACTTCTTTGAGTGGATTTTTCTTTTTCCTGAAATGGTAATACAACATAACAAAATGGTAACAAAGAAAAATTTAATTTTAACAAATGTAAACAATAATATACAAATTATGTGAAAATACCTCTGTTCAGATAAACTGTACTGGTAACTAAATGAGGGAAATGGATCAATGTAATCTTTTAGTACACATACAACCTATAAGAACGCAAAGATGCTCAATTTCTAAGATTGTAATTAAATTTATATTAAACAGCTTGTGAAAGACATATAATGCTAAAACTGTAGTGCTAGAACAGGGGGATGGGTGGAACATGTTCCCAGAGTGAGACTCCTCCGGTTTGCCTCCCGCACCACTAACCAGCTGAGTATCCCTTGCTTAACCTCTTTGCTTCTGCTTCCTTTTCTGCAAAATGGAAATAGAATCTACCTCACAGTGTTGTTATGAGAATTAAATGAGTAAATACATATAAAGCAGTTTGGACAGTGTCTGGCCTGAAGTGCTCAATGCTTCCTATTATTAGAAAATAAATCTGTGCAGTCCTCACCCTATCACTTCTCTATTAAAAACCCATCATTAGGTCCCTATCATTGACCAAAGGAAGTTATCCCACTCTTAATCAAAATATCGTCTTCATACATCGCCTCCTATTTTGGCTGTCAGTATCTCCCTCGCCAGACCGTAAGAACCCAGATCCTCTTCCACTACCAGTTCCGTGGCAGGCATTCAAAAATTAGTTATCGAACTTTTTTCACGAGGGACAAAGGTCCTTAAAAAAGGAAAGAACTCTAGGAGCGATTACAAATCACCATGTGAAGTTTACGCATTAGAGCACTTAAAGAGGATTTACAAAACAAATTGTCTGTACAATGATGTACACCTGAAATTTTTGCAATGTTATAAACCAATGTTACTGCAATAAAAAAAAAAAAAAAAAAAAAAAAACAAATTGTCTGCAGACTGGCCAACCACGCGAATCCACCACCAAGCCAAGCTTTTTAGTAAAATTGTTTCTCACTGACGTCACTCTATCATTGACCTCTGACGCACAGGAGGCGGGATTATGGAGACAGCTGGACTTCTTCCTCGTCCTCCCTCCTCCACCGGACCGGCTGGCGCAGTGGCCAGCCTGCCTCTGGTCGATTTGGTGTTTCCATTGGTCAGTTTCCCAGAGGAGGCTGGCTGTGGGGCTGACTCCGCCCCCCTGTGGGCGGGGTCTCTCCGCTAAAGGGGCTGGGGACGGTGGGGGGGGGGGTTGCTGTAGCCGCCATCTTGGATTCCGCGGTAGCGGTGGCGGCAGTAGGGCGCCGCGTCTGGGGAGTGGCTTTCCCCTCCCCCTCCCCCCGGGTTCGGTGGCGGCGGCCCCTCCCCCTGGGGGGGTGGTGCGACGGCGGTGGCATCTACGGCCATGGCGGCGACTGCTGCTAACCCCGGTAAGGCGACGGAGGACTGGGGTGCCTCTAAAGGAGGACGTGCCGAGGGGGCTGGCAACTCAGGAGACCAGGGCTGAGGGGCCGTAGTTGGGGCTGAGGGCGCTGGGACGCGCGGGGGTGGCGAGGGGGCGGTGGGGGAGGGGAGTGACCTGAGGGAGGGGCCGGACCCTGGGGAACTGGAGAGACCCGAGGTGGAGGGAGGGAGCGAGCGGGTGGGAGTTGGGGGTTCCGTGCCGCGAGTTCTGTTGGAGCGGCTGCCCGCGCTGCGCTGGCCCGCCTCCACTCTTCTGGCAGCGTTCTGGTGTGCGATGTGGTCCTCTTTCAACCCTCTGCCCACTGGAGCTGCTTGATGCCGAATAACTGTGGGCAGAGTGGCTCGTTTCACTTTAAAAGTAGTTTGGATTCATAAACACCGGACCACGTTGCTTTTTAGCGGAGGTGTTACTTCCAATCGTTTAAATATTTAGACTTTAAGTTAAAAAAATCTTTGAATATATACTCACCGTTTCTCTAGGCTGTGCCTCCCCCCCCCCCACCTCCCTCCTCTCAATCCCGGGCTATACTTTGAAACTTGAGTTTATGTATTGAGGTGCCTCTAGTGCCTTTAGCTGCTGAGGGCCGAGGTTTCTGTAATGGTTGAGGTTCAGGACCGGTCTTGCCAACAGCAAGCATCCAGAAAACCAGGTTTAAATCTTGTTAGGTGTGGGTTGAGGCACTTCCCATTCTTTAAGAAAAGTTCAGTTCCATGCCATTTCTCAATGAACCATCTCTTCAAAAGGGAGTGCTTGAACATTTCAAAAAAATTTAGCCAGTCATGTCTAAGAGATGGAATGGGGTGTAGTGCAGCAGGTCTAGACAGATAGGTCTTCAAATTCCTAGTCCCAGTCCTTTTCCCACTATATTACAGTTACTTCTCCTTGGGAAGTATTTCATTTTAGGGGTCCTAGTTTACCTTGGTGACGTTGGCCATTCTCTTGCAAAATAGAATCCTTTCCCAGAAATCCATTTCTTTGATAGCCTTACAAAAGAAATGAATTTCGAGGTGGGGGCGAATTTCTTGAAAATACAGCAGTGGCCTCGAGGAATTCACTGCTGTTCCGACGTTGAAATTTAAGTTGGATTTTTTTTCCGTGTCTCTGAAAGGCAGTATTATTTTGCAATAGCCAGATTTTGCTATTACAGTTGAATCACTGTGAAATTTATTGTCCTTCCTGCTGTGTTTCTGGGAACAGACCTATTTAAAGAAGTTAATTTGTCACGTGGCGATATATTTTTAAATCGTTTTAGTTTTTTTAGAGGAAAAGGAGATAAAATTAATTGCTAAAATTCTATTGCAGGAAGTGCTGAGTGATGGAATAAAATTGGAAAGATGCTATTATTATGGCAGACCTGACTGTGTAGTAAAATAACCTATCTGTTAACTAGGGAGTAAATAAACAAGATTTTAAACTGACAACACATTGCAAAATACTTATATAACCCTAGTCAAGTTGCAAAGTATTTCTCTTATTAAGAGGTGGCCTGGGTAAACAAGTTTAGTGCATATGTCAGAAGCTTTTTTCCAGCAGTGTGGGTGGGGTTGCTTTATTTTGTTTTGCTTTTTAAACAACAGTAACCAGAATGACAGTCTTGACCACATTTTCATTAGCTGATCAATATCAGCTAAATCTGTAAGCAGAAAATAGCATTTATTTGTGTAGAATCCTTGCTAATGAAACAGTTGATTTTGTTTGTTGTCCTTTAGCAGCCTGCTTCTGCGATTTCTAGATTTCTTTTTTGATGTTGAAAAATTCTTCCATCTCTTCCAAGTTATTGATCCCACATTCAACACATGATGATTAAATCAGAAAATGTATTTTCTTCCTTCATTTCTCCTTTTACCCCTTTATATCAGAAGGAGGAGATCATAGATGTATTGTGGACTTTTAGTAGCCTGTTGCATTTTGGGAAATGAGGACCATGACTGGAGAGACACAGGGTGGAAATGTACTGTGCTCAGTGAAAAGAAAGTAAATGGTTTTCAGGTCAGAATTCTGTTGCATGGTCAAACCTTCTTTCCTTAAAGCTATTTTGGGTGCTAGGGACATCTTACCTATTTCTTTGAGTTTTTTCTAATTTCTTTTTCTGGTTGTTAAGTTTCCCTACAGTTCTGTCTTCAGATATGTCTGCAAAGGATTTTTGTAGTAACATTTAACTCTTATCTCTAAGCTTCATTTGAGTTAATCGTTAATGACAATGCTTGATGATTGTGTTAATTGTGCTCAGAATATGATTTAGAGACCATGGGTGGCCCTTCAGTGTCTTGCAGGGGATCTGGTTCCTTTGCATTTTTCACTGTGTCTTAACATGGTGCTGGGTCAAAAGAAGAGTAAGACATGGTTTATACTGTACCCTCCAAGAGTTATGTTGAAGTAATAGTTCTAATGTGATGATGGCTTTTTTTCTGTATGAATTGGTAATTCTTAATATTCTATTATTTTTCTCTAATTCTACTTACCATTGGCAAGTAGAAGTGGATGGGTAGATGGTCCGTGAAGTCTTAGGCTGTATCTTTCTTGTTTATGGAATACTAACGATTTTGAGGAACACTTTTTAAATTGCATGTGTGATTTGTAATGCATTGGCTAAGGCGCTGGTTGGGAAGAGGTTGGGTATTTGATTTATAATTCAATATTCAAACCAGAGCCCTGAAGGAGTTTGTAGGAGGGTAGGTTTTTCCTCTCTTGATTCTGGTGTTCTCATTAGTGGAGATCTCTTTTTGTGCTATTAGGGACCATTTATTGTGGATGGAGAATGTGGTAGAAGGCAAAGAAAGGAACACTATTTGGGTTTGTAAGGCTGACATTTAGGAAAATTTTTCTTTTCACATAATTTTCATCTATATAAATTATAGTTTTAAAAGCATCAATTAACAAAATTCTTTTTTTTTTAAATTTTATTTATTTATTTTTTTTCCCCCAAAGCCCCAGTAGATAGTTGTCTGTCATAGCTGCACATCCTTCTAGTTGCTGTATGTGGGATGTGGCCCCAGCATGGCCAGAGAAGCGGTGTGTCAGTGCGCGCCCGGGATCTGAACCCAGGCCGCCAGCAGCGGAGCGCGTGCACTTAACCGCTAAGCCACAGGGCCGGCCCCAAAATTCTTACCCATTACCTTTACTTACCTTTATCAGGTACAGGAAAATAGGAATTTATGCAGTGCAAAATTAAGATACCAAGATGCTTTATTATATTCTATTGCAAAAACCTTTTTGAAAAATGTTTAAATACATTTTACTAATCCAGCAATTGAAATACAATTAACATTTTTGAAAAAGAACGTTAATCTGCATACTTTTTATGCTGTTAGATTTGTGACACTAACCTGAATTTTCTCTGTTTTCTAAGAAATTAAGAAGTAGATACTTCTGCATTCCTGGAACTCTAGTTTTCTTGTTGTTTTGAAATAGTGATCTCTCAGCTTAGTTTTTTGCTTTCCAGCCCTACCCCTCTACTCAAACAATCCACTAACAGATCAGAGTAATATGTTGTTTTATGGATGTTTTGTGAAAGTCTTTTGTGGTTCGCTGCTATGGATGACTTTGTTGTAAGGCAATAACAATAGGGATTTCTGCAGTGCCAAGTGATGATTGATCTTCAAAAACTGAATTGCAACCCTCAAGGAAACTAAACCCTTTTTCCTTGATTTTACTTAGGCTGTGACATCTTGGGGTTATTTAATTCCAAAACTAGTAAAATTTCAATCCTTAGTTGTGGAAACTGTCTTTGGAGCCATCTTTCTTTTTTTTCTTCAGGCTGTTTACTATATTTATTTAAATGTTAATTTCCTGGTGGTAGAGTCCTATATAGAAGTGCAAGGGTAGCGTTTCTGTGAGTGCTATCCTGTGTCTCTGTGGTTGTATAGCTGATTTCATTTAGATGTAACAAAAGAATACATTTAAGGCCCTTCTGAAATGCAAGGCCTGAGCTCAGTGGAGTCTTTCTGGGCCCGTCATCCATACCCAATGATAGGCCCTGCCCGTAGAGTTATCTGTTTTTAAGAATGCTGCATAGTATGGCATGGTGACTTCAGTAAGTTGACATCAGTGAATGTTGGAGTTGGAATCAAGATAACTCCCATATTTTACACGTAAGAAACAAAACCAGAGAAAGGAATGGGCACATTTATTAAATATTTATTAAGTTCCTACTATATGCCAGGCTACACGTTCCTGTTTTGTTGGCTATTCTGTATGTAGGAAACCATCTCTCACTTTCCAAATAAATTCGCTAAATTTACCTCTCTTTTCGTCATTTCTTCATTTTGTATTTTACCCTCCATGTCTTCACTGTAGTTGAATGGACAAACTAAGTTTATGACTTTAACATTATAGTTGGAATTTAAGTTCCATGAGAGCAGGACCTTCAGCTTCCTTGTTCACTAGGGCACTCCAGTGCTCACAGCGGTGCATGGTGTGTAGGACTAGAGTTCAATAAATGTTTGTTGAAATGAAATGAAATTAATGTTGTAAAACCCAGCATCGGAGGTTCATATCTTTATGCACTATTAACATGAAAATACCTTTGAAAGGAGAACACTAATTAAGCCATTAATATCATGAATTAATTTATAATAGCTAACATTAGTAATTACATGCCAGCTATTGTTCTAAATATATTATCTCACTTAATCCTCATGTTTATTATCTCATTTAACCTTTACAACAATCGTAAGAGATATGTATTAATATCTTTGTTTTACATATGAGGAAACTAAGGCACAGAGTGAATAAGTAGTTTGTCTGAAGTCACATAGCTAGTAGTGGGTAGAGACAATTTGATTGCTGGCAGTTCGTCTACACAGTTAACATTCTTAATCTCTAAGTTGTAAGACTTTTCCCGTTGTGACTTGAGTCACTTTCTACTGAAATGTGGTACGATGGATATCTTTTGAGAAGGAGGAGGGTGGGATATTGTCTTTTTATGTAGATGAAGAAGGTAAAAGAGCAGTTTGGGCAGCTAGGAGGGCAAGTTGCTGGGATGGAGAGGTGAGTACAAGGTGTAAAAAGGAGCTGGAAGAGTGTCGCAGTTCCTAAAATCTTTTCTATAACTTCCTATGTTTTTTCCTTGTAGTTGTTTTTCAGCTCTTTAGATAATTTTTAAGATTCTTACTGGAATCCTTCTCCTAGTTCTTTGTACCTCATAATTGTGCCATTATGGTGAATCTCTCCTTGGACTTGGCTTCAGAGACATTGCATTGCTTGTTCTTTCTTACTGTTTCTTCTTTGTCCCTTTTGCCTGCTCATTTTCTTTTTCTTGTTCATTATGCTTCTCCTTTTCTAGTCTCTCTCTTGGGGCTAGAACTCTTAACTAATTAATAAGCCAGTCATCTTCCTTCATTTGTATCTATTTACCCACCTTCCTACTTGCTTGCCCTCCTGCCTCAATTAAACATTTATTTGGTAACTACTGTATCCCATTCCCTTCATTTATCTTTTATGTATTGAAGAGTCTCTAAAATTTTCATTCCTTTCTTCTCACATAAGCTTCTTTCCTATATTTTTATCTATTTAAAAGACATCTCTACTCCAATAATCTTTAACATACTATTTATGTATATGTCTACCAGTATTGCCTTCAAATCTGCTGCCCTTCCTAACTTTTCTGTATCTTTCATGACTATGATAGTTTTTCCAGTTCCCCAGGCTAAGTAACTAGAAGTGTTTGGATTCTTTTATGCATTATCTGGTTGGTTATCACATCTTGGTTTTTTCGCATTAAAAAAAAATTTTTTTTTAACATATAAAGATATTAAAACATTTTTTAACCATTTAAAATATATAGTTAAAATAGATAACATTTAAACATTTAAGCACGTATATTTAACAAGTTACTTTAGGGGCTGGCCTGGTGGCATAGTGGTTAAGTTTTCGTGCTCTGCTTCGGCGGCCTGGGGTTCGCAGGTTCGAATCCTAGGCTCGGAAAGTATGCACCACTCATCAAGCCACGTGTGGTGGCGTCCCACATATAAAATAGAAGAAGATGGGCACAGATGTTAGCTCAGGGCTAATCTTCCTCAGCAAAAAGAGGAGGATTGGCGACAGATGTTAGCTCAGAGCCAATCTTCCTCATCCAAAAAAAAAAAGTTATTTTAATCAAAATTATCCATGCTTATATTTAAAGACTTAGTTTGGGGGCTGGCCCAGTGGCACAACTGGTTAAGTGCGGGTGCTCCGCTGCGGTGGCCCGGGGTTGGCCGGTTCAGATCCT